AAGAGAGGGACAAAACTGCAAGAGACAGACAAAAAGCAATTAACAGAATGTGTGTGTGTATTAATCTCTGGATATTAAATAATATCTGGAAAGGAAATTTAAAAAATCCTATTCACAATAAAAACAAGAATAAAATACTTAGGAATAAATATAACCAAAGAGGTGAAAGATTAGTACCCTCAAAATTTTAACACATTGACAAAGGAAATTAAGACATAGATGAGCAAAAAGATACCCTGGGTCAGCTGGGTAGTTCAGTTGGTTAAGCCTCCAACTCTTGATTTCAGCTCAGGTCATGATCTCAGGATCATGAGTTCGAGCCCTGTGTTGAGCTCTGTGCTGAGCATGGAGCTTGCTTAGGATTCTCTCCCTCTCCCTCTGCCCCTCCACCCCCTGTGTACATGCTCTCTCTCTCTCAAAATAAATAAAATATTTTTAGAAAGAAATCCTGGTGTGCCTGGGTGGCTAGTGGTTAAGCATCTGCCTTCAGCTCAGGTCATGATCTCAGGGTCCTGGGATCAAGCCTCATGTTGGGCACCCTGCTCAACCGGGAACCTGCTTCTCCCTCTTCTTCTGTCCCTCTCCTGCCCCTCCCCACTGCTTGTGCTCTCTGTCTTTCTCTCTCTCTTTTTCACTGTTTCTCTCTCAGAAAAATAAAATCTTAAAAAGATAACCCGTGTTCATGGATCAGAAGAATTAATACTGTTAAAATGTGCATAGCACCCAAAGTGATATACAGATTCAACGCAATCCCTATCAAAATCCCTATGTCATTTTTTACAAGAATAGAAAAAGCAGTCCTAAAATTCATAGTTTAGACCCCAAATAGCCAAAGCAGTTTTTGGAAAGAAGAACAAAGCTGAAGACATCACATTTTTTGATTTCAAAATATATTTTAGATTTATAATAAAACTGTGGTACTGGCACTGAAACAGACATATAGACCATTGGAAGAGAATAGTGGGCCCCCAAGTAAATCCATGCATCTACAAGTCAACTGATAACTTTGACAAGCTTACCAAGAACACACAATCAGAACAGGAGAGTCTCTTTGATAAACAAGTGTTGGGAAAACTGAATATCCACATACATAAGAATGAGATTAGACTCCTTTTTTACCATTTACAAAAATCAATTCAAAATAAATTCAAGATTTAAGTCTTAAGACCTGAAACTGTAAAACTACTAGAAGAAAACAGGGAAATAACTTTTTGACATTACTCTGGGCAATGATATTTTTGGCTATGATACCAAAATCAAAGGCAATAAAAGCAAAAATAGAAAAATGGATTGAATCAAACTAAAAAGAATCTGCACAGCAAACATTCAATAGAGTAAAATGATAACCTACAGAATGGAAAAAAATATTTGTAACATCTGTCTGATAATGAGTTAATATAATACTCAGAATCTATAAGGGACTCATACAACTCAATAACAAAAAACTAACTCAATTTAAAAATGGGCAAAGGACTTAAATAGACATTTCTCCAGAAAAGACATAGAAATGACCAATAGGTATATGAGAAGATGCTCAATTTCACTAATCATCAGGGAAATGCAAATCATAGTCACAGTGAAATATCTTCTTACTTAGAAGTCTATTATCAGATAGATGGTAGATGACAACTGTTGCTGGGGTTGTGGATAGAAGGGAACCCTCATGCACTTTTGATAGGACTATAGACTGGCACAGCCACTTTGGAAAACAGGAGCTTCCTCAAAGTATTAAAAATAGAACTATCTACATTTAAGCAATCCCACTTCTAGGTATTTATCCAAAGGAAATGAAGTCAGAATCTCAAAAAGATATCTGCACTCCTTATGTTAACTTCAGCATTATTTACAATAGCCAAAAGGTGGAAGTAACCTCATGGATGGATGGATAAATGGATAAAGAAAATGTGATATATGAAGACCCTGTGTTTATAGCCACACATGCACACAATAGAGTATTATTCCACCTTAAAAAAGGAAATCCTGCCGTTTGAAACAACACAGATGAACCTTGAGGAAATTAGCCTAAGTGAAATAAGCCAGATGCAGAAAAACAAATGGTACATGATCTCACTTATATGTGGAATCTAAAATAGTCAAACTCAGAATCAGAGAGTAGAATGGTTGTTATCAGTTTGGGTCTGGAGAAAGGGGTAAGTGAGATGCTGGTCAAAAAGTACAAAGTTTCAGTTATGCAAGATGAATAAATTATGGAGATCTAATATAGAGCAACATGACTGTACTTAATACTGTATTGTATACTTGAAGTGTTCTAAGAGGGTGCATCTCAAGTGTTCTAATCAAACAAAAGAGGTAACTGTGAGGTGATGGATATGTTAATTAGCTTGAATGTGGTGATTACTTTGTATATGTCTATCAAATCATCACATTGTACACTTTAGATGTATACAGTTTTTAATTGCTAATTATACCTCAGTAAAGCTTTGGGGGATTGAATTAGAATTTTTGTGGCCAACTTCTTACATAATTCCTGTTGAAAATCTAAAGAGAAATTATCTACCTAGCAATTTAAGGGTAGATACCACAGGAAAGTTCTTAAAATTAGCTGTGATAAATATGTTACTGCCACTTTCGTAATAATTTTCCTGTATTGTATCTTTCTGTAGAATTACTACCTTAATGAGAGATGTTCAGTTGTTAATGAGAGACTTGTATCATAGATAGAAGTTACAAGTAGAATCTATCTCATATAGAATGATTTAATTTTTAGATTAGCTTATTAGTGTTAACACTGGTTAGAATTTTAATTAAAGTTAAATGGTGAAGATCACATAATTTTACCTTAAATTGCCACTGATTTCACACTAGGAAGTAACAGTAATTGTTGAGTAAGATGAACCTATTTTTAAGCTTGGCCAATGAGAAAAACATCCTCATTTTTCATATTAACCTCATTTAGATAACTTTTGTGTAGGTCTTGAAGTTAACTCTAGGTACGTTTTCCTTGTTCTCAGTGAGTAAATAGGATTCTTTTTAAGAAAGTAGAGTCAACTCTTAAGCATAAATGGAATTCATTAGATTGATATAAACAACTCAAGGAATGGAAAGAAAGTTGGGAAAAGGAGGCTTGGAGAGAGGTAGGCCAAGCTACTTCAGAGGATTAGCACGTAGGAACTTCAGGTCTGTCTCTTTGCTGGTACATTTTGGTCAGGGCCTACTGCTGGAATGAATAAACTGCTTTGTCTCTGCATTATCTAAATAGACAGAGTCAAGATTCAGAATTCAGGGGTGGGGTTTTCAACGTGCCTTAATCCACTTGCCTGCCCCTTAGTGTACTAGAGTGATGAGAGAAAGGGCCTTACACAAGGCTTCTCCAGGAACCCTTCCCTTTTGTAGTGGCAAGGCAAGAGCCAGCATTGTCCGTCTCCACATTCATCACAGAGCGTGGAAAGCAGATGCAGCACAGATGACACAGTATACTGCAGTTTCTATCTCCCGTTTCAAAGGACTGGGCAGCTGCCCATCGGAAACAATGTCATTGGGATTTCTAAACACAGAAGTCTAAAGACAATACGATAAGTTGTCATTAGGCAAAAATTTTCCATGGACAAGTAGTATGTAAAAATTTCTGTGAAACTTAGTTCCTTTTTTCATTTTATGCAGTGTAAAACTTTTCACATTCCAGAATATATTCTAAATGGGAGGTTGTTCAATTACTTACGTTAACTGAATTTTTCCAATGTCATTTCCTCACAGATGCACATTTGCCTTTCTTGCATTGTGCTCTGAATATTTTCTGTAAACCAGTGATGATATTGAAGTTGAGTTTTCCAGTGACATGCACTAGAGACCCTAGAGAGAGTGACTATGTGAAAGAGAAGTCTAATAAGAGAAGCCAAAATAATGGTGACTTATTTTAATAGGTTCTCTGACCAGTATTACCCATTTCTGCTTAACGTGATTTTTCTGTCAGTCTTGAAGTTTTTCTGAACTCTTCCCTGTTTTCATAAAAACCCATGTTAAAGTACCTTAAAAGTCCTTTTTAAAATTTTCATTCTTTTTCCAGTGAAATGAAATTGTTACAGGTAGCCTACAAGAATATCTTAATGTAATACCTTCTCACAGACTTCTGCCTGTTTCACTTTTTTAGTATTCCATCCTGAGATAGAATCTAGTCTTTGCATCAAATAATGTTTCTTTGTGGACATAGATGGTGCAAATATTTTTAAACATACACAGATGTCCTGTAAAATCAGAAATATTCATAGGTAGCCTGTTCGAGACATTTAAATGGGGTTTTTCCATTTGAATCATGGTTCAATGATTCACTGGTTTCACTGTCTTGTGACAGTGATTAATTGGTTTGTGAGGTTTAAATTTAGGCCAAAAGTTAGCTCTTTTGCAAGTGGTTATTAATGAGTTAACAGTTCTATAAAAACGAAAGTAAACCGTGAGCTGTTAGAATGGCTTCATTCTGTAGATGAAAGATTTCCAGTGGGTTATATTGTTCAGTCAGTTATCATTGATTTAATTATTTTCATAAAGGTTTATTGGTAGTCACTTCTCTTAAAAAATTACAGAAATCTTATGGATTTTTTTATTTAGTATTTTTCTGCATTTAGTTTTATTAATTCATTTTAATTTTTTGTTTACTGAATTAAGAGTGTGAATGTTGATGCTAGAAAATCATATACATGGAATCTTTTTATTTTAACTGGAACCTGATTATCTGTAACTAAGATATCAAAATTTTTTAGGTAAGGTGTAAAATCAGCTTTAGTCCTTTAGTAATATCTCTGTGGAAAAGATAGGAAGTCTGAATTTCACACATAGTGATTTGTTGTAGCCTTTAGATAAAGAATGAAAAACACATGTTGTAGGAGACATTAATAGCCCCAGCCAGCCTTCCTATAGCTCTTTTGACAATCTGTTAGCATACCATTTTAAAAAGATAAATTTTGGGGGCCCGATTGATACCATTAGGTTCCTCTGCCATTGCAGAACAGTGAAGACAAAAGCACTCACCATCTTAATATTCACAGGACTGTGCTAAAGAATAATGATTTAAGATCAAGACAAGAGTTAACTGCCCACCTCACCAACCAGTGGCCTTCCCCAGGAGCTCTGGATGTCAATGCTGTTGCCTTGGATACGTTGCTTTACCGAAAACACAATAAACAGTGGTATGAGTAAGTGTAATACTTTTTTTTCCAACTAATTATAAATTTAGTTGTACCAAAACATATGGCTATCCACTTTGGTTTCTCACTTATTCTTCTTTCTGAAATCATTATTAGCACAAAAGTAGAATTTAAGACTACTTTGGCTTGATAAAGTCAGATTAAGGCAGTGAATATGTTAACGTTTGAAGCCAAGGCACCCTGGGGAAGTAAAATATCTAAGAAATTCTTATGAAGTATTGTACCAGCTACCTGCTTCTCCCTTAAGTCTTCAGCCAGTCCTTCAGTTAAGTCCATGAGCTCGTATTTAATGAGCCATCTATTTTTGAATTTTAGATTCGGTATTTGTATTTGCCTTAGGATTAGTTTTCCTGCTAGTTAGAAAACATAAAATTCCATCTCATGAAAGAATGAAAGGATACTTGTTCTTGGTGGGTCAGAGGGAGTTTTGTTTATTTTCAAGAAATCTAATTTTTGGAGGCTATAGAAGATATAATCACCCCACCGGTGGGCCATGAGATTCTTTTTGTATTTCTTTGTCCCACTGTTTAGGACTATTTCATTAAGTCATAGTGTCAAAATGTTGAGAGAGCTGCAAAATCTTAGGCTACATTTCCTTTGGAGTATCTTCATTTTGAAACTTATAAATTGTATTACCTTCTTTTGGCTTTTAGCTGATCTTCCCATCTTGATAACTTTTTCAATATCTTTATTTTCCTATCTTAAGCTAGTTTTCTAATTATTTCCTTCTGTCCCTCCATCCCCTTCTGTTCTCTCCCTTTCCTCCCTCTTCCCCCTCCCTTTCTTCTCTTTCTCCCTTCCCCCTCCCTCCTTTTTTTTTTTTTGTTTCTTCTCCACTCTTCTTTTAGAGCCCTTATTTTTAAACTTCACTGGTAGAGCTACACACTTCCATTTGTGCTTCTTAGGGTGCTTTTCCCTAGGTAGTTAGTAAATGGTGTTTCTACAGGGATCCCTACATTTCTACAGGGATTGTTTTAGCATAGACATAATTTCTACCTGCTTTACTGTGTGATTTTTTTTTCATTTATCAAAGGGAGTACTCAAAATAAATTTGACCTTCTGTTGCTAAAAAATGCTTTTTTTTGTTTGTGTCACTGATTGCTAGAGATAGGCAGGGAAAGTGAGCAGACTGTAGAATAAATCAGTAGAACTCTCTTCAACATCTACTAAACCTAATGCTGCTTAGTATGATTCAAGGTGTTGACTGAGTCTTTCATGGATTGGATCTAGTTCCCTTATATACCCTCTGAGACTTATAAATAACTAAAGTATATCTTCTTACGTTGGTCTATAATTTTATTTTTCTATGACATATATAAGTAATAAAAGAATAGTAGTTTATTCCTATTTCTGATATATGTATGCAGCTAGGGTGTAGTATGGAGATCCCTGGACCCAGAGTTTAGGGTCAGGACTTGAGAGTAATCTCTGCTACCCTACTTGCTGTGTAACAACACTAAGCAACACCTCTTACCTTCTGTACGTGTAATACTGGGGGTAATGCCTATTCAAGTCAGTAATAAATTGCGTGGCACCTACTACTTCTCAGGGGATCTTTATTTATATTCTATATAATCTCTTTTGTTTATGTTCTTAAATAACTTTTTATCTTCCATGTTTGGAGAACACACACTCACCCACCGTCCTAAACTCTACTTTGTTAGAGAGTTTGTAAAATTTATGTAAGATTAAAATGACCAGCAGATCCCCAGTTGTTCTGAAAAAATAATCCCAACTTTTTAATGTAAAAATGGAGACTTTGGATTTCCAGAATAGAGTAGTGCTCTATAAATCATGTTTGAAACAAATCATACCTTTTCTCAGGATCTAGTTTTTGCTCCCCCCCCAAATCTGTAATATAATCCAAAACTCTTGAACTAACCTCATCACTGATTCCTCTTAATTTGACCAGTATCTTCAGCAAGTTTAACAAACATTTTTCAAGAACCTATAAATTATGGAAAAGGTGGCTAAAATCCCTAAATAAGGAATATTAGTGCTCCTGATAATTTGGAGAAAGAAACTAGCCCTATAATTAGTTATCATATGATATTATAATTTTGTGCTAAGAATATGGGATATCTGTATTTCCCTAGGAGTTCTGTCAAGTTAGCTTTGAAAAGAATGATAATGTGCTGTTTGATTTAATTTCTTGGTCTAGCTGACATTTCTTAAAATGAGTGATGGGGTAAAACTTGGCTGTGTTGTCACCTACTCATAGAAGAATCCTTTTCACAGTAGAAGATCTTAAATTTATTTTCATTTACTGTACTGCTTATAAAACTTTAAAAATATCACTTCCAGTTCTTTTTTGATCATTTAGACCTGGCAAGGTCTAATTAATTATGTTGGATTTTATATCTTTTCCTTTATCTCAAACATAGGAATATCATGTTAAAATTTTTTAAAGCATTACAGGCAGACTGTAAAAACTCAACAATAAATAAGTATATAAAACATACACATAGAGCAATTGGTTACTTTTTTGTTTCCAGTAAGTTCTGTTTAGTGTTTTTTATATGTAAAGCCTAGGCCACATGGATACTGGTTATATAAATTTATTAGAGTATATGTTATATAATCTTGTTAGATTATTGCCTAACCCACTCATTTCCATCCTAAAAGATCAGATTCATTGTCATCATATTTTTATTTTCTACTTAAGCTTTTTTAATATTCTAAATTTATCATTGCTTTTAACTATCATTCACAAAATTACTGAGAATTACGAGCTTTTATATGCCCTTCAAGTTCTATGTAGACTAATTTTTTTGATGACTTATGAGTGGATATAATTACTTCAGGTGTGTATAGGTTCTCTTTCCCATGTGCGTTTTTCCAGTATTTTTGGAGCAGAACTCCCTGAAGCAATGAGGCTTCAAAAATCTTTTACAGCTTGTAAGGTTTGCATTGACCTCACTCACATATCCCTTCCCTTTCAGGCTCCCTTGCATCCTTCCATTAATTTTAGTAGATTAAGAGGATACAGATGTTCTGATAAAGGAAATGCTTATTTTGTTCGCTAAACACATTTCTATGAAAATCAGACCAAGAATAAAAAGAACAGCCCATCTCTGGTTCCATGTACATTCATGTGCCTCTATGTCTACAGTGTGCATATTTATGTTTTTATTTTCTTCATATGGATAACGTCTCCTGAGCCTAACACTCTTTTTTGCCCAATGACTACGAGATAATATAAGTCATTATTGACCTCAGTACATCTATTGGGCAAATAGGTGATATAGATTATCCATATCTTGACTTCTGATCATTAATACAAAGTGTAAGATTGTAGAAAATTTACTAATAAGTAAATTCAGGCCTCTTGCTCAGTTTCTTTTAATTTGCCTTTATTTGGTATCTAGTTTCTTTGTATATAGTAGCTTGTATTTGAGTGATTTAAAATTTTAAATAATTAGATATTGAATACAATGGGTTTTATTATGTCCCAGATGCTTATGACACTTGATATGATTCCTATCTTACTGTCTGGGGTTCTTACTTTGATTAAGTAAGATATTGCTATTTAAAAAAATATGCTCCAGGAAATAGACTGTTGATTGGTTTGATTTGCCTGGTGGGTTACATTTGAATCTTACAGTATGATGTTAAGGAGTCTAGAATTCTAAAATAGGACTTAGCGGTGACCTTTTAAAGACAGATCCCATAGACAGTTTACTCCAGGACAACATGCTTGTCAGAGGGAGCTACCAGTTGTATTGGCAATCAGGTAAGAATGTGGAAAACCCATTTCTTCTCATTGTTGCAGACAGCTAAACTAGACTCCTCCCAGGTGGTGGGTCTGTAATCACCTTCATGCAAGGAAGATATTACATGGTACTCTTATGAATATCTTTTGAATAAGGGGCCTCATTTTGGCTTGGATTTTTTATTATTGCTTCAGAATTCATTGTCTACCAAGTTCTGTTTCTATATTCATTGGCATTTGGTTAAGTGAAGCCTGGAAACTATAGGGTTGTTCGCTAAATGTAACAAATTGAAGGGTAGATAGTTTCCACAATCACTTTCCATTTGTTAATGTGATATCTAAAAGGAACTTCAGTAGGCAATGCAGAAAACTCATTTTGTGTTGCTTTTATCAGAGGCAGCTTTTATAGTCTTTCCTCCCCCCAACTAGTGACAGTCCTGGATTGCTGTAAATGTGTGCCGACAAACTCGCAGGCCTTATAATTTTTAAATGAATTTTATGTCTTTTTTGCTTCTGGGTATTTTGTTTGTAAATATTTCTATAATTTTTAAAATTTAATAATATTAACTATTAAGTTTCTTACGATGAAAAAATCAGTGTCAGAAACTCATTTAAAGCCAAAAGTTTAAAAACCAGCCTTCTACCTATTAGGCACAGAAAAATAATTTTGAAAAGAAATTTATAACTTCCTTTATTGAATTCCTGTGTTCCTGCTTTCTTCTATAGCTAAAGAAATAAAATTTTAATGAAAGTCAAGTGAAATTTTCAGTGATACAATTCAGTACAGTATAGTTTACATGGTCAGTCTCAGACACAAGGCTGTTCTTTAATAAGGTTTTTAATAAAACAGAAAACTAAATGTTTTCTTTCTGTACCGGAGAAGGAGATAGCATGCAAGTTAAGGGGACAGAATTAGAGCCAGGCTACCAGGGTCAAATCTAATCTCTTCTTTGTGCTCGTTTACTCTGCTATAAAATGGAATAGTAGTAATTCCAACCTCTTAGGGTAGTTATGAGGATTAAATAAGTTAATATATATAAAATGTGCAGGGACAGGACTTAGCATTTGGCAAGCATTATATAAATACTGGGCATCCTTCTTTATTACATGTTGTATAGTTCATATATGTTTTATCTATTATAATTATCAGAAGTTTCCTATAATAGAATTTTCTGCTACTTAAAAATCTAAGAACTCTTATACTAGACATTTGAAAAGTCATCATGTTATAAAGTGAGAACACTGCCTACATTGTAAACTAGTAAAGTTATTCCATCATCTCATCCTTCATTTCTTAGATGAAAAAAAACAAATAGATACTGTTGTATACCCTCATACATAATATGTATGCTTTCAATAAATTCATAAGTTTACTCTGTATGAATAGAGAATAGCTTCGGAATAGACCATTTAAATTATATACACTTTCCTGTAATGTTATTATAGAATATATGATATTTCTAGGAAATTAGTTAGGGTTTGGTTACCTTGGGAAATAGATGTTAAACCTAAAAGCGTATTCTTTCTCCTGGATTACATGTATTTGGAAATAATAATGAATCCCATTTTCTTTCTTGAAATGTCAGTAACACCAAAGCTGCATACCTCTTTTGAGTTGTTTTTATCCTGACAAAACAAATACGAGGAAGGTTTAATAATAAACCTTATTAACTTTTCATTTATAACTGAATTTTTCCTCTATTATAATTCATTTCTCACTAACTTGTTTAATGGAAATTGCGCTCACAGTAGCAAATACATGAGGGAAGGAGGTTAATTTCTTGATAGTGTATTAACAGAAGAAGCTATTTTATTATCCAACATTTTTAAACTTCTAAATTACAGGAATTTTGATAATAATTTGTAATTACTGTTATGCAAAAACCATCTGTAAAAATATCAAGACATTGAAGAATTTTGTAGTGCCTAGGAGATACTATGTCATTATTAAGTTACGTCATTTTGGTTTCTGTATTAAGAATAATCTAGATTTTCTGCTCCTTTGAAAATTGGCAACAACCAGAAGGTCCCCATTTTCTCACTAGCTAAATAATCAAAAATTGGTGTAAGGATTTAAATTAGTTTGACAAATTGTTTCTCTTTTCCTTTTTTAATAGATTAAACACACAGACGTCCAGAGAGTGTGGAGGGAAAAGTATAATGGAGATCATATTGCAGACACAATAGAGACAGAGTTTAGGGGAAGAACTGGGGAGAAATAAACCAGAAATTCAATAAATTGAAGCAAATCATTAAAGAATATCTCTAGAAATTCTGTTTTGTGAGAAGAAATCCAAGTAGTATTTCACCCTTGTTTTACAGAAAAAGTTATCAAAGTCTTGACCAGTTATCAGCTGAAGTTAGCCTTTCTCAGACTTCACTGGATCCAGGTCAGTCACAAGAAGGAGATGGGAAGCAAGACACATTAAATTTAATCAGTGAAGGTAAGAAAAACAAAATTTATCGGGAAATTACTTTTTCCTGCACTGTGTGTGCTATGGGTGCAGAATGCTGAAGAACAGCAGTGACTTTCTGTTAAGCATGCTGGGAATGGAGCTGCATTAGGATTCAAAAAGGTTTGCTTTTGGGTTTTTTGGTTTTTTTAACCCATGCCGATTCGGCTTTCTGTGTCTCTCTCCCACACTAAAACAACTTTTATCAAGGTGTTCGACCACTGCTGACTTGCAGTTCAAGTCGGTTCTCAGTCTTCATTCTGTTAAACTTCTCAGCAGCTTTGGATACAGCTGACCACTTCCTTATTCTTGAATCACTTTTGGTACCTCATTTATTGGGTATTCTGAAAACCTTGGGAACAAATATGAAAGAGTTTTAGTTTTTCCTGTCCCAGCTTTTGGCTGTGCTCTGTCCACCCCTCTTTCCCTTGTGTCGCATCTTCCTGAACAACATCTTGGTTCCATTCCAAAACTTTTCAGGCCATTTTCAGTGATCACATTTCATTTTCTAAGACTCAGCCTGTGCATTTTTAAACTCCAGTAACTTAGCTGGTTCAGAGTTACTTTCCCTCCTGTCCCCGGCACAGGCTCGGGCCGTGACTCTAGCACTTTGGGTTGGACGAGTGAGTGGTGCCGGTATGATACGGCACTCACGTCCCTTATCTCTGGGTCCCAGTTCTCCGCGAGCGGCTGTGTGCAAGGTGGGGGCTGGGGAAGAGTTCCCTAGCGCAGGGGGACCTGCGCTCCCCTGGGTCTCCGGTTTCTCCCCCGTTCTCCACTGCAGTAGATGGCACCACCACACGCATTGCTAGATTCTACTCTTCCCCTTTACAACTGTGCGTCCGTTTGTCAGCGCTCCCTGCAACACACGCTGTCTACACTGACTGATCATCATCTTCACTCTTACAACTCTCGTCTAAGCCACGTGGAGCAAGCCTCGTGGATGGACTCCTGCCACAGCTCTTTCTCGGGTCTTTCCTCTCTCACTCTTGTCCCCTTGTAGTCCATTCTCCATGTAGTCATCAGTGATCTTAGAAAACATAAATGAGAAAATGTTATACTCAGAATTCTCCAGTGGCTCTCAATGACAATGAGAATACCGTCCAGACTGCTTATCATGGCCTCCTGTATGATCGTGTCCTTGTCAGCTTCTGCCTCAACTTACACCGTTCTTTTGCTTGCTCCCTGCACCCCAACAAACTGACCTCCCAGCTGTTCCTTCAGGCGGGTTCCTGCCTCAGTGATCCTTGCACTTGCTTCTCCTTAGGGCCCTGAAACTTCTTTCTTAAGGTCTTTGAATTGTAACCTCTATTGGAATATCTCTTTAAAGAAGTAGGTGTTCATTGACTGCCATACCTTCAGTAAACATCATCTCCACATCCATGTCCGCCCCACCCCAGGCACCCCGTCACGTTGCCCTCTGTTATAGTACGATTCTTGTCCCCAGCTCCCCACTGAAGTGTACGCTTCATGACGCTAAGGAACCTTACCCATATTTTCCACCAGTGTATTACCAGAGCCTGTGACATTATAGACAATTATTAAGTATTGGTTGATATTAGAATAAGTATATAATGAGTGAATGTCACAGAATGTGAGGAACAAGGTAGACACAGTATAAAGTAAAAGTTCAGTTAACAAGCAGGCTTAGGCAATGGGAAATTATGTGAAGCTGAATTTTCTGCTTCTTTTAAAATAGTTGTTGAAATGGTCTCAGAGGGCCTTAAATCTATTTTAATAGTTTAGTAAATAGTGTATACTGACTAAAAATGAATCTTTTTTTGATGATGTGGATAATAAAGATAGCAAAATAGAGTATCCTAGTGGCATGAATGTAGGTGGAAGAGAGTAAACTGAATTCACTGTCATAATTTAGAATATGTATATTTTAAAAATTAATCCATTCTCTGAGTGGATTTATTTGTGATGACTCTTTATGTAAAAGAAACATTTAGGATTTAAATCAGTTTATCACTATAGGCATATTAATAGTAATAGGTCAAGATTGATAATGGGTAATTTTTATACTATAAAAACAAATATATAGAAGAGTGATGAATGGGTGAAGCACAAAGAATTTTTAGGGCAGTGAAACTATTCTGTATGATCCTAAAATGGTGGACACATGTCATTATAAATTTGTCCAACCCATAGAATGTACAGCACCAAGAATGAACCCCAGTGTAAACTGTGAACTGGTTGATAATGATGTGATCATAAAGATTTATCAGTTGTAACCAGTGTACCACTCTGGTGGGCGATGTTCATAATGAGGAGGCTCTGTACAGAGATACAGAAATCTTGGCACATTCCATTCAATTTTGCTGTGAACCTAAAACTACTCTAAAAAATAAAGTGTGTGAATACACAGAGAGCGGGAGAGAAGTATTGGCTTTCAGAATTCAAGGTTAATTAACAGATTAAGTATTACTTACAGAATTTCCCTACCCAAATAGCTAATAAAATGATCAGAAAAAGAAAATATATGCCAAAAAATGCATCAACTGAAATCCAGCAACAAGAAAGAGCTGTAATATATTTAGGATAGTGTAAAACTAAAGAAAATTTTTTTATTTTTTAAAGATTTATTTATTTATTTGGGAGCAGAGGGGCAGAGGGAGAGGGAGAGAGAGAGAATCTCAAGCAGACCGCCCTGAGTGCAGAGCCCAATGTGGGGCTCCATCTCATGACCCTGAGATCATGACCCTGAGCCAAAGTCAAGAGTCAGACACTTAACTGACTGAGCCACCCAGGTGTCCCATTAAAGAAGCTTTTTTAAGACTTGAAGGACACACATTGTTTCTACCCATAGCATCCTTCCCACCCTCCCATAGAAGCCATATGGTAAGGAAACCATACTTTGATACACTGATACAAGAGAGTGCCCTTGAGTTAAAAATTTCACAAACCAGCCAAATCAGCTAGCCCTCCTATGTATACAAAATTACTATTCTTTAAAAAAATCACCTAGGGGCGCCTGGGTGGCTCAGTCATTAAGCGTCTGCCTTCGGCTCAGGTCATGATCTCAGGGTCCTGGGACTGAGCCCCACAGCAGGGAGCCTGCTTCTCCCTCTCCTGCTCCCCCTGCTTGTGTTCCCTCTCTCGCTGTCTCTCTCTCTGTCAAATAAATAAATAAAATCTTTAAAAAAAAAAAGATTTTTTGGCTGTTCAGGTTCCACTGAATTTCCATATGAATTTTAGAATCAACTTGTCATTTCTGAAAAAGCAGAATTTTGATGGGGATGACACTGAATCTGTAGATTAATTTGGGAAATATTGCCATCTTAACAATGTTGTCTTCTAATCCATGGAAAAATGGGATGTTTCCCCACTTATTTCAACCTTGATTTTTTTTCAAGAATAGTTTGTAGTTGTCAATGTACAACTCTTGAACTTCTTTATTTGAATTTATTCCTAAGTATTTTATTTTTTTAGATTCTATTGTTAATGAAATTGTTTTCTTAATTTCATGTTCTGGTCATTCATTGCTGCTTTTATTATTAGACTTTAAGCATAGGTTTAAAAAATTAATGTCACTCCTCTGTATCTATAAGAAGGAAAAGAAAAGTGAATTCAGTTGTAAAGAACTTCATATTCAGAGTCTCTTCTGAATCATTTCATCAAAAGACATTGGCTGTGTCTGCTCATAGTATATCATTCTCTGTGCCAACAGCGAACCATTTCCTAAAACAATCCTCCGCTGATACAGGGATTTTCTCTCAAGTTACCAAGTGTCCTGCACATTTTTACGTGAGCACTTTCTACTCGCCTAATTTACAGTTTCATTCTCTTTCTCAAATCAAATACTTCTAGAAGTTAAAAAGCTTCTCTTCAAAGGCCGCAGGAATTCCATGACAAATTGAGGTTTCACATCTTAACAGAAACCCTGCATAGTGCATGAATCACTCACACCAATTGCTATTGCTTTAAAATTTCTTTTATCTAGTCTAAGGAATGTGTTCTGCCTCCATTTGTGCACTTGGCGCGTGATAAGCAGTCCTTTTGCGGATGTTGTCAAGCTTCATCTACTTGTAGGGTTTTTCCTAAGTGCTTTGTTTTACAAGGAAGTGTGAATTGCAGTAATTCTTGTTATGGGTATTTGCTTCAGTGAAATTTACATTCATGTTTTTCTATGAACAACTAATAATTTTAAAGGAAAATTATAATATTTGAAGGCATTTTAAGCAGTATATAAATATGAGTAACTCCGTTGAAGAGATATCAACATGGACACCTGTGGCCCAGTTCATACATGGACACGCCAAAACAACGGTCAGGGTACTGCCTCCTTGCCAGCTACAACTACCACACACAGTGGCTCCAGGGGTTTGAAATTTTATTGCACAAAATGATGACCACCCCTTTTCTTGACCTTTGGTCACAAAAAGGTAACATGTTGCTTACATAACAGGTTAATAGAACATTTTCCCCATGTTTATGGGTTTACTAGTGGCTAAGGAATCTCTGTAGTCATTCCTTAAAATTCGGATACAGTTTACTGCCTCTTCGCTTCCTCATTGACCCCTTCGTCCCCATTCAGACTTCCTTATAGGGTTGGCGATCTCACCTTTACTTATTGTTCTTACTGCACTTGATGATAATTTTCTGTTTGTGTCTGTTTCTACCTTACATTAAGTTCCCTATAGGCAAGAAGTAGTTCTTAACTTTTTATTTTTTATCATGATGTCTGGCATTGTGCCAAATGAATGACTTCTTTTTTTTTTTTTAAGATTTATTTATTTGAGAGAGCGAGAATGAGAGAGAGAGAGCACATGAGAGGGGGGAGGGTTAGAGGGAGAACAGACTCCCCGCTGAGCAGGGAGCCCAATGCAGGACTCGATCCCGGGACTCCAGGATCATGACCCGAGCCTAAGGCAGTCGCTTAACCAACTGAGCCACCCAGGTGCCCTGAATGACTTCTTAGTAACATTTGTAGCAGTGCCATCTGAAGACTTGTACAGTCCAGACTCTATGTCAATAAATTTAAAACAAAACGCATCTTTCTTGCTATAAAACGAAAATCTGGGGGCACCTGGGTGGCTCAGTCGGTTAAGCCAGTTGTTTTGTTAAATGTCCAAAGATTTAGATTTGTCTTATGTTATCATATTCAGGTTAAACATATTTGCAGTATGTAAATAATGCATCTTTGTCAGCACATCTTATCAGGAGGTCACTGTCTTTTTTGCATTGAGAGACCCTTAAAGATGACTCCTGTGTCCTTTTGACACTATTAGTCTGTGATAGCTTCTTTGCTTTGTGGTACAAAAGATGTTTTGGGTTACTTTGGTATATTTCACGCCCACACCCAGGATCAGCTATTTCTTCAAGTCTTACTTCGTTATACTGGGAAATGTTAGAGACCGTAGTTTAGGCTTACAGAGGTGCCTCTTGTTACTGGAATGGTCATTGTTTCTAGTCCGTGGAAGAGTTAGGAATTTTTTTTAAAGAAAAATATACTTCAAATTTATTTTACAATTCAAATTTAAGACTCAAGGTTTCTATGTACTTGATTTTATATTTTGATATCTTATGATGACACTACTGATTCCTCATTTATATGAACATAATTACTTATTTACTTTTTCCTACTATATTAATTTCAAAATAACAGTATATTACTAAAATACGATAACTCAAAATAGCTTAGGATTTCTCATTATTTTGAGAATATATGCCAGAGTCAAATTACTGTGCTTAAAGTTCATCTCAATTCTGTTTACTTCCACTATCATAGTTAACCAGTTTTTGTGTGTGTGTGTTTTTAAGATTTTATTTATTTGACAGAGAGAGAGACGTCAAGAGAGGGAACACAAGCAGGGGGAGTGGGAGAGGGAGAAGCAGGCTTCCCGCCGAGCAGGGAGCCCGATGCGGGGCTCGATGCCAGGACCCTGGGATCATGACCTGAGCCGAAGGCAGATGCTCAACTGACTAAGCCACCCAGGCGCCCCATAGTTAACCAGTTTTATTAGTTTTTGAATTATCTATTTTTTAAATGCAAGTAAATTTAAATAATTTATGTCCCCCTCTTCTAGATAAAAGGCAACATGCTATACCCTATTCTGCACTTTGTTTTCACTTGACAGTGAAATTTCCAGATATCCTGGAAATCAGTACCTAGAGGTACATAGAGATCCTTCTGATCCCTTTTACAGCCCTGTAGTACCTCATCGTGTAACTATGTTAGACATTTAGATTGTTTTGTCTTGTGCATTACTGTATGGTAATCTTTATATTAAAAAATGTTCTCTAAGTATATATTCCCAAAGAATTGCAAACAAGACTCAAACGGATACTTGTGTGCATGTTTGCAGCAGCATTATTTACAGTACTAAGGTAGACACAACCCAAGTGTCCACTGGGTTGAATGGATAAACAGAAAGTAATGTATACACACAGTGGGATACTATTCAGCCATAAAAAAGGAATGAAGTTCTGATACATACTACATGGATGAAACTTAGAAAACATGCTAAGGGAAATAAAGCCAGACACAAAAGGGCACAAATATTACACGATTCCACTTGTAAGAATGATGTGTGGTAGGCAGATTCATTGACAGAAAGTAGATTAGTTTCCAGAGACTGGAGGTAAGGGGACAACGATAGTTATTGCTTAAATTGGTAGAAAATTTGGGGTGATGACAATTTTTGGAAATAGTGGTGATGGTTGCACAATACTGTGGATGTAATTAATGCCACTGAATTGTACACTTAAAGTAGAAATTTGGAAGGATTATCTAAAGCAGTTGAGTTCCAGGAGCATTTAACAAGAACTCCAGAAAGTTAATTCTGGCCTGAAATGTCTCTAAGCTTAACCATTAAAAGGGTCCTTGAAACATCTAAATGTTTTGACCCCGAAATAACACGATAAACATTTTAAATTGGAATTTAACAATTCTTCTTCCATATCTTTTTCTAACGTTGTTCTATTTTCCTGTATTGTATTTGTCACCAAAACTATGAAGTTAACATAGCTAGTCATCTTTAGTATTTTACAAAGGAAAGGATAGGCTTAGAGAAGATGCCTTTCCTAAGGTCATACAGCTAAAAGGGACATAGGAGCTCTCTTGGGTCCCAGTACAGTTGTTACTGAATCATGACTCGGTAATTACATCATTATTTAATGAGCGTCTCCTGTGTGCTAGGCACTGGGAATGTAACACCACAACAGATTCCATGTCCTTTCTGTGTATAGTTTAGAAGGAAAGAGAGCCTGGCAATTATCATACAGTGTAACTAGGTGGGTTAGAGTTCAAAGGACTATGGGAACACTTCAGAGGGGCCATTTGAAACAATAGATAGCATTCAGAAACACCTGCTATCTGGTTCACTTTATACTTCAGTAACTGTGTAAGTAAAACTTAAGCTTTTTATCTACTTTGGGAACCTACTAATTTGCAAAGACCTCAGCCATTCACAGCCTCAAACCAGCCACTTCTAGCTGGTATTTGCAAACTTAACCAGCTCTGGAAAGAACTCATGTTTCCCAGCTGTGAAAACAGATCTGCCAGTCTTCCTTCATGGGCGAACCGAAGTCCAGGACATGACAAAGTTCCTGATGCAAGGTAGCTGCCGAGTAAATGTTCAGTATGTGAGTCGAAGCTCTCCCAGTGCAGCTCCTCCTGAACTGAACCAGTTTTGCTTCTGCTGCATTACTTAACCTACATAGGATTTTCTGGTATTTCTGTGGCCTGGGCATTTGTACTGTTAGTTTATTATCCTTTACTAACTGAACATGAACATATTCTGGAAAAAAAAAATTTACTTTTGTCCTAAAACATGGCATCTCAAACTTCCGTATCTAGAACTGTTACGAGGAGCACACATACTCCTCTGGTAATGTTTTTTGAAGGGTGACACTGAAGCTACGGAAATACATAATTAGGTATGTTCGCAGTATTTTGTGACATTATGTAAGTTTTTAGTTTTATAGGATCTTTTGGTATCATTCTTCAAGGGCAATTACATATTTGTTATTTTATCTTAACTTTCAGGTAAAGAAGACACTCCCTCATTACTCGGTCTCTGTGGATCTCTAACATCAGTGGCAAGTTACAAATCTCTAACGAGTCTCAAATCTAATGACTACCTTGCAAGTCCCACAACAGAGATGACGAGTCCAGGCTTAACTCCATCCTGAAAAATTTTATGTCAAAGCCAGAAGTTTTTATGTTGCAAATGTTCTATTTACATAAGTTTGACTGCTGGGAAAACCTTTGGAATTTTATATTGTTCTGGCACGTCTGGAATTCTATTGCTTCTATTAGAGAATTCAGTGCACTCCATGTGCCCTTCTGAGTGAAAATGATCCTGCCATTTTAAGATTCTTATATTTGTCACTGAGGAAGATTAAAAACGGATAGGCTTAAAAAACTTTCAAATATCCTCTAAATTAATAATCCATTGCAAATTGTGATGTATATTTATTATTCAGCTGATTTTCATATATTTAAATGTACCATAATCGCCAGAGACTGAGTTCAAGGTTTTATTTCAGAGACATAAGCTAAGTATTTTCTTTTACTCTTTTATTCAGATTACATTTTCTAAAAATGACTTGTTAATTTCATTTTTCATTCATTTCTTCCTAGGTTCTGATGTTTAAATGCCTTTTCATATGAGGAGGAGGTTCTCAGCTGGTTTCATAGTGGCTTACTCAGTTTTTAAGTTATCATTTGGTACAACATTCCATTAACATTTCATAAATTTTGTAGGAATGTGTCTTTAGGCCATTACTAAATTTGTCAGGGTCATAGGGAAAGTATTTTACACCATTTTGGTAAAATGAATAAATCGTTTTCCCAAGATTTTCTTAAAGGGTTATTTAAAAATATCAAATATTCCTCAGTAGTTGGAAACATTTAAAAACGTAGAACAGATGTTGGAAAGTATTTTATTAGGAAAGATTCCGAGTTCATTTAAGGATTTGAGAACCTTCAAGTAAGGATCAGTAGAGTCTCACCATACTCAACAGTATGTCTGACATAACAGTGCTGTTTTGTTCTCCCTTGTGTGCAGCAATGAATCATGTCATGTTAATGTTAAAAACTGATGTTAATGTTCGAAATCCCTGCATATCTACAGGTAAAAAAAATTAGTTTTCTTTTTCAAGAAGTTATGCGCTATAAAATCTTTTTGCAGTTTTTTAACTATATATTTCATCCATCAAAATCCCACCATATTGAAAGAGAAAACGTATGAAGTATATTTTCTAATAAGTGCTACGAGGAAAATATGATCAGTTGTGCCAAAGAAGTTTTATACATTGTTTACATGAAGAGGACACAGTATTTAATGGGGACTTCATACGCTATTTTTGTTTATTAATAAAACATTACATTCAAACTCAGTAGCTTAGACTTGTAGGAACAGTGTTTCCTCTACAATTTATTTTATTCAGAGGAGGCAAGAGCGCTGAACTTATTACATCATTCTTTGTATTAGAAGTGTAGGAGTGTGGTGGTTCTCTGCAATATTTAGAGCTTTATTCTCATAATTCGGGATTTAAGATAATAGATAATAATTCGGCCAGTCTTATATGCAAGACAGTTCAAAGTCATTTAAAGGACAAAGGGAGGCCTGGAAGCCATTAAAATAAGTTATTCTAGATGTACCAGAACATACTCAGAGCTTTATTCCTTTAGCTTAAGGCTTTAGTACTTGTTAAAATGCAAATATTCTTGAAAAATGGTACCTTTAACAATTTACTGATACCTACTCTTAATTCTGTATACTTTCTTATGAGTGAGGTATCCAAAGCAATTTTTAATGAGCACGGGGATGGAAGGAAGATACAAAGTGAGGACAGTGGAAACCTTGGGAGGAGGGAGTAGGAAGTGGCTAAGGAGGGGAACTTGAAAATTTTTAGGTTGGCCTTAAGCAATTGTTGCTTTCCTAAAAAACGATCAGAATGTTTAAAATGCTTTATCATTCATGGTCCACTCTCAACTGACATTTATTTCCTCAGTAATTAAAAAAAATCATTGTTAAATTTTTTTCCATACATTTTATAATATAGGAAGGAAATTCAAGATTCCATAATTGATAACATTTTCCAGATTTGTCTAATGCATACAGTAACTTGTGCATCTTAACATACTGCTAAATGCAGATTTAAACATGACATCTGAGGATCATGACTTTTCCTCCTTTCTTGGAGCTCTTGGTATAAAATTCATCTGCTAATGTGAATTCAGGTTTCTATACATTTCATTTCACACTAGTTATACATGTAGCTAATGTTTGCATGAGGAAACAATGTATGTCTCAATCTTTAATTTTAGATGGTAGTGTTTACTGTTTACACACCCTACCCAAAACAGAATGCTGAATTATATGCTAATAATTCCATGTGTATTTTGTTGCCTTGATGTACTATATTTGTTGCATGTATATTAAACGTTTTGTACCATGCAGTAGTGCTTATATTTTTACCTTCAAGACAACTTACTGGATTCAGCTGTACACTGTACTTTTTGTTTTAGCAAATACGGTAAATGTATATTACTCAACACCTAAAATACTAGTATGACAAAAGGTTTTGGACAAATCTTTATTTCAACTCAAATATCCTTTTATTTAAAAAAAATTACATGATCTGCTTTATAATACACAGTTATCGGTTGAAGTTGTACAATACAGTAGTGATTTTGGTAGTTGCTAACATAATTATGTAAGAGCCATGTTTGTTTTCTCACCTATAAAATGGAAACATCATCATCTTCTCAGAACCTACGATGGCATCAAGATGATGTCAGCATTCAATGAAATTATATAAACTAAGTTATTTAAGTCGTATTTATTAGATTTACACACAGGTTTTCAAGTGGTTAAAAGTGTGTCTCAAATTGACAACTTAGGGAAATTCTTGGTCAATTCCCTCTGAAATGTCACACAACTGCTTTGAACATCAGGGCTCTTAAGTATTTTTTAATTGGTTCCCTTTGTTCTTCTGGAAGCAAAGCAGTTTTTATTTTTTAGCATTAGTTCTTTTTAACTGATTGATAGGAAGGGGCAGATAAAAATCACATCAATGTTATTATGGTCCCTTTTCAAAGTCTATTCTGGTCCATACCAATCTTTACTATATAAGTCCCCATTTTCTGTAGTGCTGATGATTTCTCTAAAACCCAACGGAAGCTACAACTTCACTACATAAGACTCAGCCTTACTACACGTGACACATTCTGGTGTGTGCTGTGCTAAACTACGCTACCCTCTTTTCTTTTCAGTTAAAATAATTGCTGGTCTTGGGGGGAAAAAAAAAACCAAACCCAACTCTGTAATTCTTACACCTGTGCCAAAAATACTTGTTTGGTTTCCAGTTGCCTTCCTGTTTTTCCTTCCCTGGGACTAACTTCCGTTGCCTGACTGAGACTGCCCTGTCCAGGTACGTTTAATTGTCTTCGTCTTAGGAGCATTTCCTGACAGTCCCCGCAAGCTCCGTGGAGAATCTTTCAGCGCTCCCAGCGCTCCCTCTGCAGCCCTCTGTCAATCACAGCTCAGCCAGCTTTGTAGCCAAGTGAGTATCTGAAGCACTTCCTATCTCCAGTGCTTCTTAAACTTGAGGCGGCCACGGAAAAGATCGGAGATGTCAAATGATAGGTTAAAATTTATTTAAAAAGTTTGTTTTGGAAAAAAAATTAAAACCTGATATACTAAACTTTCCCATATCCCTGGAATTCATGCTCCAGAAAGAGGGAAGAATTTATTTATTTATTTTTAAAGATTTTATTTATTTATTTGAGAGACAGAGAGAGAAAGCACAAGAGATGGGGGGAGGGTCAGAGGAAGAAGCAGACTCCCTGCCGAGCAGGGAGCTCAATGCGGGACTGGATCCAGGGACTCCAGGATCATGACCTGAGCTGAAGGCAGTCGCTTAACCAACTGAGCCACCCAGGCGCCCAAGAGGGAAGAATTTAAAGGAGTCATGTGGTTAAATAAGCATAGTGAATAGTTTCCTAGAAATAAAAGAAAAATTTATTTTAACTTCCTATCTACTTGTTCAAAAAGTCAAATGTGTATTATATGGAAGGTGGCAAAGATGTAAAACTTGAATTTCTTTTTAAAAGTACACACACATAAGGAAGTAAACGTATTTGTTAGAAAATTTCACGTAGATCGAAACTATTAGCTTTCAGAAACATGACCAAGATTATAATTTCTAGCCAAGTGCTTTTCAGTTGCTATTTTTTTTTGTTTAAATAAAGCATTAATGCTTCTTTACCACTTAAGTATAAAGAAAGCTTCAATTCACCCTCTTCATCCAGATACATGGCTGTAATATGTACTAGAAAAGCTACTAGGGAATTAGATTTATTTTAGGCATAAATGGTAAGAATTTTCCATAAGTGCAGTCCGTTTTGGGGGTGGGAGGGTGATGGGGATTTCCCTACTGGTATTTCTATTAAGTTGAAATATGTGACTGCTTCTTAATAATTATAAATTTAAATTTTTCTCTTTTCTACCAGTTACCAAAAAGAAGCATAACAAAGGTAAATTTAAATTTAATACCGTTAAACAGCAGTGTTTATAAAATACAGCATTAACATAATGATTTTATATGAAAATATTTAGCTTGAAGCACAGTGATAATTTTAAGCATAAAATACTTTAATGGAAATGTAAGTTAAAGTCATAAACATTTATGATTTTATAGATATGTATGTTAAAAATTTAAGGTAAATCAACACAGGATAAAGTAAACACAAGATTACATACTAACCCTATATAGTTTATTTCTGACGAAACATATGAACTTTTCTCCTAAAATACAAAATACATAATTCCTCTACCAACACTAGAGATCTATCACCTAACTATATTACTCTATTTTAGGAAAAAAAACCAAAACTTCACATTGTCATAGCATACACATAGACTGCAATAAAGTGCTTTTTCTTATAGGATATAGATCCTGAGAAAATAAATCAAAAACAAAAATAACAGAACATTTCTGTCCCTCCATCATAATCCTGTTTCATTCCTACAGCCACGAGCTACATTACTGAGCCATTAGCCTGTAGGGACTAAAAGCTGTTTGTTCAAGGAAACAAACAGTGGCCTCTTTAGTCTCTTGATGTAGCATACTAATATGAGATGTGTAAAATCAAGGGACACTGTGGAAATACTTGTGGCTTATACTGTGTTAATTTCAGTGTTGTTAGAAGACGACAATACGTGTGACCTCGAGAGCTCCACAAACAGTGATACGTGGATTCCAAGACAGCTGAAACCAGGGCCCTTCCCAGGCTGAAACGTTCTTTTTACTACTCTAAATATAATGTGGTTTTCCAGTGCACACCCAAGATTCACTGTGCCAAACATTTAACACAATCAGTAAAGACTCCTTCCCTCTTGTAGAAACAGTAGATAATACAGAGTCTTTAGCCACCAAATATATCTTTATCACATAAACTTATATTCTGGTTCATAAAGATAAACAGCCATACCTTTAGGCAGAGAAATCCTAATACTGGTGAAGCCTTATCACAGCAACAGGAGGTGTAAAATAAAAAAACTAATGCATTTGAATTAAAG